TTTAAAACTATAATGCAGAGCACTGGTTTCTTGATTATGCCTAGGAGAGATGGTGAGCCATTCTTTAATTCCTCCTAGAGTTACAACATTTTGGCCCATTTTCTATAATCTTTCACGCACTTAGGCTAACAATCGGATGGCTATTTCTTCATCTCCACCTATTCATTTAAAATTCACTTATTTAAATTATTAATTAAGAAAACACTTGGATGAAAAAATAAATATATTCACTCTGAAAAAAAAATTACATATGAAGGCTGCGCGTTCAGTGGCCTCACCCCTGTATTCTACGCACTCTGAGAGGCCAACGTGGGAGGATCCCTTTGGGGAGGTTAGGAGAGTGCAAACCCCCCATCTGCTTACTAAACATTGAAAGAAAAGAAAAAAAATTAGCTAAGCCAACTAAAAAAGAAAAAAAAAATTAGTTGGGCCATGGGTGTCTGATGCCTGTAGTCCCAGCTACTCTTGGGAGGGCTGAACTTGCGAGGAATCATTTGGAGCCAGGAGTTTTGGGAGGTTGCTGGTGAGCTTAGGCCGATGCCAAGGCCATCACCTTTTAGGCTGGGCACTAGATTGACTCTATCCCCTGCCCACCCCAAAAAATGCATATGGCCCAGGTGTGGGTGGCTCGTACTGTAACCCTAGCACTTCCTGGGGAGACCGCTGATGAGGATCGATCCCTTTGAGCTCAGGATTCGAGACCAGCCTGAACAACAGAGGAGAACTCATCTCTACTAAAAATATAAAAATTAGCTGGAGTGTGGCTGGCCACACCACCGTGTTGAGTCCCAGGTATTCAGAGGCTGGGGGAGGCGCAGGAGGATCGCTGAGAGCCCAGCCAGGGTTTGAGGCTGCAGTGAGCTATGATGATCCACTTTACATAGGGTGGACAGGAGGAGACTCTGTAACTGGAAAAAAAAATCAGACGATGGAGTACTCAAAAGGTGTTTGTTGAACTTCTAATTAGTTTTTGTTCCCCCTTTCTAACAGCCTTTTAGGCGGGCAGCGGCTCCTCAGGGGTGCTTCAGCTACTCCCATCCGGTTTAGGCCCGGCCGCGGCCCGTCTCGGCCCCCAGGAACATCAGCTGTGTCGGGCTGCGGATTTTCTTGTCGTGCCTACCAAATGTTTAAGCTTAGGAGACCTGGGGGCCGGAAGCTACCGCCTCGGGCAGATTCCCCAAATCACTATCGGAAAAATGGGAAGTGGCGTCGGGTGGCAGGAGGAGCTGTCGGCCATGGAGCCAAATGAGTAGTCCCGGGAGTACCACTTCGTGGGAGGAGCCTGATAGCTTTGGAGGTGCTGGGTCGAAGACCTGGACTCTCAAACTCGTGACCTTCATTGTGGGGGGGGCCCCAGGGGTGAATGGTAAAAGAGGTTTAAGGAGCACATTGTGCCTCTGTCAGTGTCCCATTCTGAGAAACAGCGGCTCATCACCAGCGGCCGCAGTTCTGCAAGGATGATAAGGAATCCCAGGAATATAATGTTGGGGGGAAAGTATCCACCTGCGTGGAACGGGGGCCTTCCTCAAACTCAGCTCCCTTCTGGGGCGTCTTCTGGGACAGGGGGTTCTGGCCCTGTCAGCCACCCATGAGTGCGGGGGGACCCTTCACCTGGTGCTCGGGGGGGGCATGGGGGCCTCTGTTCACGACGAAATGGCCAAACAAGCTATGTCGCTATGGGTTGGATATCCTTTCAATCTTCCTAGTGGACGGCTCTTGCTGGTGGATGTTCACATCAACTTTGGAACACGGCCCCGATTCAGACGTGAGCCTCCCGGGGACAGCTGGGTGACTGGTCTCAAGCACCGATGATCGGAGAGTATACAGACCTTTACGCTATCCCGGATGATGTGCTCCAGGGGTCCCAAAGTGCCCACCACAGTCACGGCTACCCCCCACAGATTGCCCGACTGTGGC